GATAACTTGCAGTGAGTCTTTTACATCGCTGTGGAGGAATTCTGGCCCTCTCCTCTCTGCAGAATAGTTTTAATGTAGCCACATTGGAGGGTTTTCTAGCGTTCATTTTTAGGAATCATTTTCCTGCTGCATAATCCAACAGTGCTTAAGCTAAGGACAAAAACTGATGGCTGGACATTCTCCTTCCAGATTTTCCGGTAGAGAGCAGAATTCATGGTTCCATCGATTATGACAAATCATCCAGGTCCTGAAGCAGCAAAGCAGCCCGAGACCATTACACTACCACCACCATGTTTGACTGTTGGTATGATGTTATGATTGTGGAATGCTGTGTTAGCTTTACAACAGATGTAACGGGACCCATGTCTCACAAAAAGTTCCACTTATGACTCATCAGTCAAGAATATTGTCCCGAAAGTCTTGGGGGTCATAAAAATGTTTTTTGGCAAATGTGAGACAAGGCTTTGTGTTGTTTTTGGTCCATGGATGCAATTTTTGCCCAGTCTGTCTCTTATTAAAAATTGTGACCATAACTGAGGCAAGTGAGGCCTGCAATTCTTTACATGTTAGTCTGAGTGCTTTTGTGACCTCCTGCGATGAGTCATTGATGTGATCTTAGAAAAAAATTTGGTAAGCCAGCCACTCCTGGGAAGGTTCACTACTGTTCCAAGTTTTTCTACACTTGTATTTAATGGCTTTCACCATGGTTCACTGGAGTCCAAGAGCCTTAAAACGCCTTAGTAACCCTTTCCAGAAGCACAGACAATAATTGTGTTTTTCATCAGTTCTAAAACATTTAAGCATAACCAATATGCAAAAGTAGAGGAAATCAGGAAGGGGGCAAATAGTTTTTTTTTTTTCACAGCACTGTAAAATAAAATTATTCACAGTCCAAACATATAATCTCTAACAATGTGAAAGACCGAAAGGAGGATATTACAACTGCATACAGTGTTTTCAGGGCATTTGAGTTCGCCAGAGAAAGAACAGAAAAAATAGAAGATTATGTTGGCAGGCGGCCTTGTCCTTAAGAAGTGCTGACACACACACACACACACACACACACACACACACACACACACACACAGGACTTGATCATTCCCAGCAGTTGTGATATTCCAATAAAAATTGTGTGTGTGACCTGGCTCCAGACCTGAATAAATATGCTCGCAGAAATAGATCTGACAGAGCATTTCCTCCAGCGAAAAGTGTGTGTGTGTGTGTGTGTGTGTGTGTGCAGGTATGGGTCTGTATGTGTGTGTGTCTGTGTGTGCGCACGTGTTTGTGTGCCTTTGTGCATGTATCCGTGTGTGTGCGTGTGCCTGTCTGTGTTTGTGCGCACGTGTGTGTATCAGCATGTGTGCGTGCTTGAGTGTGTGTCTGCAAGTTTGTGTGTGAGTCTGTGCACAAGCAGGTGTGTGCATCTGTGTGTGTCTGCCTGCCCACGTGGGTGAACGTGTTTGTGTCTGTGCATGTGTGCACGCGCGCGTGTGAGTGTGTGTGTGTGAGCGCGCACGTGAGTGCGAATGTGCCTGCCCATCTGTGCACAAGAGTTTGCATGTCTCATGCTGCTTACAGTCCTGGATAGTCAATGCGATGGTGTGGAGACAGAGGACATTTTAGTCTCAGTTTCAGCTCAGTGAGTCCATGGCAGAGCAATGCTTTAGCATTTTAGCATTAGCATTTTCAGCTGGGCATCCTACAGACAGGGAAAATTAAAGGCGACATCAGTTCCAGCACAAGCCTGCAGCCGGCAAACCTGAGGCTCTGATTCATTGAGCTCTCGGCACAAACATGCTCTGTCTGACTCATGCAGTCCATGGGTGATTCTGAGGACTCAAAGAGTCAGAAAGGAAGACTTGATGTATAGGCTACTATGTTCTCTGCCAGACAAAAGATGAGCTGACTACACTGCTGACATAATATGGTTTTCTGTCCAGTAATGAGAGGTGGAGTCAGCAGCAGAAGGTTTGGAATGGGAATCGCAGAAGGCTCCGAACACAGCCACTTTCACTCGTTTTTAACTGCCCATCTGGATTTCATTGAGCTCCACAGAGGGTTTTCCGCTCAAAGACAGCCCATCCTTGAGCCATAGCCCACTCAATCCTCTCCCCTCCTCTCGTCTTTGCTCCTCCAACCTTTCTCCTCCCTCTTCCAGTATGCCTGCAGGTCAGCTCCACTGCACCGTAGCTAACTCGAACCAGCCTAACATGCAACTGCCTTAACACTCAATCGCACTATTTTGATGCCTGCAAAGCGCACAGAAGTTCGCCGCCACTCGTCCGCGTCACTGTGCTTCAAAAAGCGTTTTAAATGTTCCAAACCCTGATATCTCTTAAACTGGCCGCGTAAATACAGATTTGCACAGACCAATCCCACAATAAACGAAACATCAAATATTACCCATCATATGGAGGGTATTTACCAGTAAATTGGAGACCATGTAAACTATTTACGCGTGAAAGCCAAAAACAATGGTAGAGCTTATTACCTTTATAAGTGCCTAAAGTGCCTTTTTTTATCCCATCAAAGTGCATTTCATACCTGCCTGAGTTCATGAACTAACTAAAACGTTGCATTAGTAATGCCGCTGAGTCCGCAGTTCGAACAGCAGCAGACCGTGAAATCGAGTAGGTATTCGGACTCGTTGAGGTGAAATTCAAGTTATGAACAAGTTATTTAGCGCGAATTCATGAACTGTTTTAGAACTAGAACTGCAGCAATAAAGATTCTGAAGTATGAAAGCGCGCTATGAAGACTCACTGGAAGCCTATTCATTAATTTCATTTCACACTGACATTCTGGTGACTATCGAGTAGTACTGCCCCAAGAGTGTAGTGCACCATCGGATGAAGCTACTCCAACACGACTTCAACAGGTTTTCAAATACAGGGATCAAGATGCGGGTGGCGATAAAAGGGACAACTTTTAAATTACCGATGCCTGGAAATGTTCTTAATTACAATTTCAAAACAAAACAGCAAACTCCTCTTAATGTTTGACTGCACTTTGGGAAATACTCAGACGCGTATTTGTGCCTACATTCCTTTGCGTGTTCATATTATCTTCATCGGTTATCGCTGAGATAATAAACCCTGGAAACATCTTTGCACCAAAGCATCCACATTACAAATAACGTTGCGGACAAACACTAACCTCCAAGTAATGCTTTTGCGCGCGTGGCTCTGTCTTCCTCCAACAAGAAATAACGGAGTGCACTGCCAAATAGCCGGTATTGTTCTCCACTTTATTCCAAAATCCCGGCACACAGCCCACCCTCAACTGTGCAATGACGTTGCAGCAGGCTCCCATCCAGATTAAATATCCTGATAGGTCCTGCACGTCTGTGCATGCACCTCACTCTACAGCCAATGTATCTCCAAAAGACCATTCGACTTGCTGGCAGTATTCGTGCCTGTTTTTTATCAAATCAAATTGCTTCAAAGATCTGTGAAAATGAAAACTGTGCACAAAAAAACATACTGTACGCATAATCTGCTGTTTTCATAGTCTGTCAGCTTGGTTTTAGTAGGCTATCACACTATTTATATTATGAAATCGAATTCAACGAAGAATGAAATAAACGGCAACAGTTTTATTTTATGTCAAAACACAACTGTATACAATCGTAAAATAAATACATTAATTGCAATTTGGTGCTCCACAATATCGAAGGCACTTTAGGGGTTATGATAAATATTAACGAATGATGCATTTTTGCTCCCGGATTTGAAATTCCACCCAGTGGCCCGAGAACTTCCCCCATGATGAGACACAGCGCACTTGAATGGCCCGGTGGATCCATGTTGGAACATCATTCAGAAAATAAGTTTTGTGATGACAATGGTACCACGCAGAGTGGGTAGTGGCTAGTGCCAGTGGTGCTTTATGCACACATCTGTAAGACATCTGTCCTTGGGCTCCCCTGGCTGACCTTGGCTTTAAAGAAGATATAATCATGCAACCGGCACACAAAGCCAATTTACTCAATATATGCTCATCTGTTGAAATGCACGTCTGTACATAGGATGTCATTTCAATAAAGAACCAGCCATATTGTACGGTATTTTAATATAATAATTGAAAAGCCAAGTGCTTAAAGTGCTGACGTCACATTTGAGGTAAGGGTAAGGGTGGAGGAACTTGTTTCTTTTGTTACCTAAGTCAATTTTCCCAATTTCCTCTAAATGGACATAATGTGACTTAAGTACTTCTGGCACCGGAATCTTCGATTGGGCACATAACACGCTTATTTGCTGTTATTGACCCGACAAGTTTCGGAGAAACGGCTTTTCTTAGCATTTGGCAAGTGAGTAAGAATCCTATTCATTTAAACTTTATTCATATCTGCTAGACAAAATGTTTTACCTGTGGTAAAGTACATGCTGTAAACATCCGAAGTTCTGATAAGGATTATTTGCTGTCATCAGATATTGCAGTCCCTAAATTACGTCCCATCTTAAATCAGACATCTAGATTTAATCTAATGCAAGAAATTTAGAATAGATACTAACAAGTGAATCGTGTTTAATACCAGAAGCCAGTATAGACTGCCTTTGAAAATTACGTACAGTCTTGTGCAAATTGGATAAAAGTGCTTGTCAACTGAATGACCTGAATGTAGTGCAAATAGCCATGCCAAGTGATAGAATAACCACCTCAAAGATCACTGCATAGTACCTTTTAGCCATGTTTCATTAATTTCCTTGACTTGTATGATGCAACTAATGTGATTGCATCATCAATACAGTACTGTAACTGTGTTGGATTGGCCTGGTAATTCACCTGACCTCAATCCCATTGAGAATCTCTGGTCCTTCATCAAGTGAAGGCTGCAGTAAAAGGACTGCACCACAAAAGCCAAAGTCATCAATGCAGTTGTCCAGCTGTGGCATCACAACAAAGAAATCAAGGCAATCTGCAAAAACCTGGTCAGCTCCATGTCAAAACAGGTGGAACAGCTTATTAAGATCTGTGGAGGACACATCTCACATTCAGGTGGCTCGGTGCTGCAGTGGTTAGCTCTGCTGCCTCACAGTAAGAAGGTCGTCAGTTCAAATCCGGCCTGGGGCCTTTCTGTGTGGAGTTTGCATGTTCTCCCTGTGTTTGCATGGGTTTTCTCTGGGTTTCCCCACCCAGAAACACATGCATCATAGGAACACTCCTACCAGTGCCCCTGACCAAGGAACTGGCTTTAGAACTGGAGTTGGTCCCCAGGCGCTGCCCACTGCTCCTAACTATAAATGCAGAGGACAAATTACCCCACGGGGTTCAATTAAGTATAAAAAAAGTATCTCGTGCTAAATGTAGATGCTATTAAAGTAATAAAAACCTTTGTTATTTGGTTTTTCCCACTCCAGACTGCTTTTTCCAATTAATGTGCACAATACTGTTGCTTTCTCATAGGCCATAGAAATTATAATAGCTTATATTTTTGTAACAACCACATGTGAATGCCTTCTGTGTCTCCTCCCATCCAGCAACTTGCTCGTCCATTAAAAGTGTGCGTCTTTCGATTGGCTTACATCTCGCGTGTGCCCCTAGCCTCGGCTTGGTCTTGTTTCATTGTTACTTCCTGATTTACTTGTGATGCGTAATTAACCCCCTGCTTTGAGTGGCAAAAAGCTGGATTAGAATTCACTGTTTGTGCTTAAAACCAGTCAGTATTTCCAGGAATAAACTCTTTGCCTTCATAAAGTGAAGCAAACGTAATTTGCAGAAGCCTTCCTCTTTACCCAGTTAATTCTAATAAGCTCCCAAGCCTATTCAGGGTTCAGGATTGGGACAGCGCTCAAGTTAATCCTGTTCAAGTCCGCTCCTTTGTGCAGTTTAATAGGAACAAGCTCCCAAGCCTAATTCAGGGTCCAGGATTGGGACCGCGTTCTTATTAACCCTCACCGAGTCTGTTCCTCTGTCCAGTTTGTTAGGAACAAGCTCCCAACCCTTCTCTAGTCATCAGGACTGGATCAAAGTTCCCCTAAAACTACTCCATCCTCCTTGTTGACAGTTCGGCTCTGGCGAAGTGCGCACTACCCCCGGCTGTCATCCTGGAGACTGGCTTCATCCTGCTTCACCTATAACATCTGAACTGAACTGCGCTGTCTTCCTCGGGGTTCCGTCCCACTATTACCGAACTGCTATCGATAAACATTACTATTGGATTGTACTCTGCCTCCACACTTGTTTGCAGGTCTGGATCATAACAATTGTTATAGATTACAAATAAATAACTAGTGTTGTTACCATTTTCTATTTTTGCAATAGCATTTGAATGCTCAAGAAGTCCAGTATGTGTTTTATTTAATTGATGTTGAATAAAACATAAATGAACAGTCTTAATCCTTGCGAATGAACAGTTTTGGACAACTACTAATTTGTATTGTGACACCATCTTTATTGAGATGACACTGGCAATATCATACAGTACATTACTGATGAGAACCTGCTTGCGGAGAGGATTGAGTTCTATGTATATCAGACTGATAATTTTTCTTCAGAATTATTAGTTAACAAATGACATTGCGTGTAATTTTTCGGGCAGAGAGAAGATTGCTTTCTTGATGAGTGCAAAGATTGTAAGTGTAATTTTATAAGCAGCCAGGTTGGATATTACAGTTGTGCCACTGTCAATCTGAAAACCATCAGGAGGTCTGATTCACTTAAAAAAGTCTCAGGGCAATCTCTTTAAGGTACAGGGCTCTCGCAGCTGAATCTTCTCAGTCTCATTACTGACCAGTTCGTTTTGCCTTTGAATTTATCATTCTTTCATTTTCAGATTGATTTATAGACTCGCTTGAGGACGTTTATGAGTCACTACAAGCAAATTACAGTGTTTGTACTGAGGACCATTTTGGAATAAAATAAACCGAGAGCCATGACTGCACACTGGAGACAAAGGACGACTTAATTACATCCTTGACTTAATTATATGTTTACAGAAAATGGGACCGTCATCATTTTCACCTTTAAGTGAACCTTCACTTATAAACTCACAAAAGCAAAATTTTAATCAAAAGCACAGTGTCCTCAACATTCACTGCTTTCCTTTTGACCAAACCCAGCCTTTATCTTAATTAAAAGATTTAATGTACAATATTAGTGAACTCGGTGCTTGTGTACACTGCCTCCCGGGCATGTGCGATATAATTATTGTCTAATTTTTTGTTTAACTGGTATTGAGCGGTTAGACTGTACTCTTGGCGTGGTAGAGGGAAACTTCAAAGAACTGACTGCCTACTTTCTAATTAAATCAAAGAGAAAGCAGACACAGCGGACAGAAGATAATACCAAGATCAATTTAGCATGCACTGAAAATTAAAACTGCGGAAGTCTTCTAACTTTTACCTTTCTTTGATCGATAACATTAGAGACTTGGATCAAGAGGAGAGCGTTATGATACTCAGAGGGAAACGAACACCAGTTCTGTATCATTTAAGAAAAAAATATTGCAGGATGTAAAATAACGCTGAACACCGGCGGAAAAAAGCCGACAGTATCAAACAAAACGTGCATTTTTGTTCGACATCAACACATCTGTGTTTATATACCTGTTTAACTATGTGTGTGTGTGTGTGTGTGTGTGTGTGTGTGTTTGCGGGTGTATACTTGCAATATAAATTGCATGAGTGTGTACATGAAACCTTAAACCTATCCATTTCTAGTACAAAAAAACTCACATAGCTCGTGTTGGTTTGCACGTGTGTCCTTGCAAACTAAATTGCATGAATGTGTACTTGAGACCTTAAACCTACCCATTTCTAGTTAAAAAAAACTCACGCAATCCTTCAACCCCCACTATTCGATTGGCTGACATTTATTTAGCCAAAATATGGCCTTTTAATGTGCCAGATTTTGACCAGGATGCATCAGAATGACCACTCAACCAGTACATTTTTAAATCTCCCTGCACGCGAATGGCAAAATTTAATTCCGTGAATGTGTTGAAGCTAAGCAGATCCACTCCATTATACATATTAGATACGCAGCTTGCTTGCGCAAGACCTCATTTCGATTTGTCCCTCGTGTGAACTCCCCCTGCTGGTTGATGGACAGCAGTGCAACTCCAGTGTGATAGTCCCACTCCCTCCGCACAGTCAATGCGCTTTTTCTCTTACACGGGCAGATCATCCCAGCTGTCAGACTCCCCGTTTTCGGGCAGGCCTGTCTCTTCGGGTTCGTCGTTCAGCATGGTTTCAGCTCCTGGGTCGGGGTTCCGGATAACGCCGAGGAAAATGGGCGTTTGGGTCGCATCGTCCAAAAGGGCGAACAGGAAGGGCTGGTTGACGCTGAAGGAGAGGTGGGAGCGCGTGGTGGACACGGCCGTGGCAGCCGAAGCCTCCGCCCCTTCCTCGTGAAGCTCCATGCTGGACTTGTGCTGCACGCTCGACACCACCAGGGGGCCGTCTGTGATGCGCGACAGATTCGGCGACAAGAACAGACTCTTCAGCCCTGGGACAGTAGGAGAGACGGGTGGATACAAAAGGGAGTGTTAGTGACAGACAGAGAGGCAGACATCAGTTAGAATGGGCAGATGATGAGGTTTGGGATCCTGATACGACATTTATGGAAATAATTTCTGATAAATACCGTTAATTATAAATTTATTTGACTTTTCTCGTGAATACTGTAATGTAGCAAATTTTGCCGAGTGTTCCTCACTTTTATGTACACTCATAATGCAGTTTATATTCAATGAAAACTTAAGTTTATTTGAAAGTAAGTCATTTCAATCACAGCTTTGGTAATATGTGCAAATATGAGAAATGAAACCTACAAGTTAAGAAAATGGAAGTCTTCCACAGTATTTAGTTTCGATTCATTCGCTGCCATAATTATTCAGCATTGTACAATGATTTTTTTGCAATCAGCTGGCTTAAATCACAACATGAAGAAACAAATGGCAGGTCTTTTTCTATCCAAGCACTGGGTTTTCCTCCTCAACAAATATAGCACGGAAATTAACCATTCTTGCTTTTAATTAAATCCAACTGGTGTCAGACATGTCAGCAAGAAAGCGACCATAGCCACAGTTTATTTGAGCCGGGCTGAGTCCCAGACATCTTACTTACCATTTCTCATGTAAATTGAGTGCGATGGATGAGTAAGGTGCTGACAACGAGCGCATGTGAATACCTGAGTGATGTGCGCATTTCCGTGATTTCACTGAACGTGGCCATGCTCTAATCACAGCACGTATTATGTGTTGACAGACCATCTGATCTGATTGGATGGATGTGTCGCAAGATTTCCGCCCACACGATAAAAAACGCCCGCCTCTTCATCCACTAACTTTCTGACAGTGACGACGACTCCACCACTTTGTGCTGGATTACTAACTGTATCCTGGAAAGCATTCCCCCGAATTCACAAGCTAGACCACTGATATATACACCTAATCTGGTCACAAACTAGAACTTTTTGGATACTAAACATCCTGATCATCCAGTCTACTCAAGTTACTGTCGAAAGAAACAGCCAGTATTCAGGTGCTCCACGGGTAGTTGGCTGTATGTTTCGTAGATAGCATGTTTAGAGGCGGCAGGAGTTAGGAAGTCGTTTAAGACAAGAGCGAGCGTCTCTTCTCTCTTACCCATGCAGGTGAGAGCCTCCTCCAACTCCTGACTGAACTCCAGCTTAAACTTGGGCAACTTGACCAGCATATTCCTTTCATTGGGCAGACGGGCGTACAGGTCCGTGGTGTTGAGTTTTGCGGCGATGGTTGAGACGTTGACCTTCCCTGACATGGGCATGACCACCAGCAGGCTCATGTTCCCTTTGAAGGGGAAACGGGCCACCTGGATGGGGGACAGGAAGTTGAAGTTTTGTGGCAAAGCTGGCCAATCCCGTTCCAAGAAACCTGCTGTTCTGTAGGTTGTCACTCCAGCCTTAACAAAGGACACTGCATTCAACAGCTGGCGAGCTTGTGGATTAGCTAAGTAGTGGACTCAAGTGCACTAAATGAAAACTTTCAAGCGATAGATCTCCAGGAACAGGACTGGTTATCCTGCAGGTGCGTTTTTGAAAAAATAAATAAATAAAATAAATGAAAGGTTGATATTGATGATCAGGCTAAA